GAGCGCCTAAGCCTCTTAAAAGTTACGTATCCAAATCGATTCTCCAACGAGAGCCTCCCGTTCCTTAGATGGAAGAGTCGGCAGAAGAACCTCCATGGGCTGAGGCATAAAACCAGCCCTTAACGGGCAAACTCCCAAGTCACTATTAAGTCAGCGGTTGCAGAGGACTAAGCTGTGTTGGTCCGCGGTGAAAAGCCAGATGTGAGTTCGGTAGCAATTTGGAGACCAACAAGATTGGGAAGAGAAGAAGAAGAGATTGGATTTATACCCCCTGCCCTTCACTACCCAAAGGAGTCTCAGAGCGGCTCACAAACTCCTTTCCCTTCCCCTCCCCACCACAGGCACCCTGTGAGGTAAAGATTAAGAAGAGATTGGGTTTATACCCTGCCCTTCACTACCCAAGGGAGTCTCAGAGCAGCTCACAAACTCATTTCCCCTCCCCTCCCCACCACAGACACCCTGTGAGCAATGCTCCCTCTAAGCTGTGGAGTCTTGTGAGCAAAATCTCTACTTTGTGAGCGACTGACATTAAAGTTGTGAGTGAGCGATTTGGCTGCTGCATAAATGAGTTTGCTCTGGAGCCCCATCCTTCCTGAGCGAAGACAAAAATGTGTGAGCCGGAGGCTAAAAAACTGTGAGCTAGCTCACACTAACTCAGCCTAGAGGGAACACTGCCTGTGAGCAATGCTCCCTCTAAGCTGTGGAGTCTTGCGAGCAAAAATTCTGCTTTTGTGAGCTACTGGCATTAAAGTTGTGAGTATAAATACTCTAAGCTGCGGGGTCTTGTGAGTAAAAATTCTACCCTGTGAGCTTACCGGCATTACAGTTGTGAGCCAGCGATTTGGCTGCTGCATGAATTTGTTGGCTCCGGAGCCATCCTTCCTGAGCTGAGACAAAAACGTGTGAGCCGGAGGCTAAAAAACTGTGAGCTGGCTCACACTAACTCAGCTTAGAGGGAACACTGGTCCGCACCCCAAACAGAGAGCTCAGAAGATCCAGGCTTCGAGGAGGACTGACTTTGACCAAGGCTCCCTCTAAGCTGTGGAGACTTGTGAGCAAACATTCTACTTTCTGAGCTCCTGGCATTAAAAGTTGTGAGCCAGCGATTTGGCTGCCGCATAAGTTAGTTTGCTCTGGAGCCACATCCTTCCTGAGCGAAGACAAAAAACGTGTGAGCTGGAGGCTAAAAAACTGTGAGATGGCTCACACTAACTCAGCTTATAGGGAACACTGACCCTGACCCATGCTCAGCTCTGGCTTTACTTCCCAAAGTTCGCACACATATTATACACGGGCTTGTTGTTTGTGACTTTCGCTCCTGCCAGCATCCTTTCGCCCTCTAGGGGGCAGCAACATCCCATTATTTAGCTTCTCCGGAAGGTAGAATTCCTTATGGGGAGAGGAATTTCCTTTTTTTACTGATATTGACTTTTCCAGATACTCCTCTTTATTCTCGTTTCCCCCTTTTCAAAAGAGGGATTTCACTTTCCTTTCCCTCTGGAATTAAAATCAACACAAACTCTTTCGTAGCTTGGCGGTGTTTTTCTGTCGCACACCATTTATTTTGTTATTCCGTTTACACCCCACATTTCTCCCCAATGGGGCCCCCGAAAGCGGGTTACATGATTTCCCTCTCCCCCATTCTGTCCTCACAACAACCCTGTTATAGACTGAGAGGGTATGGCCGGCCCAAGGTCAACCCAGTGGTCTTCCATGGGAGGAGCCGGGTTTCGAACCCGGGTCTCCCAGACACTAGTCCAACACTCTTAACCGCTACACCACACTGGCTGTTAACGGGAAAACATGGGAAAGTGTGTCCTGCCTCTTAGCATCTACACAGCTAAATTCTGCAGAACTTCCCTTCCTGCCCCTCCTCTATTCGAATTTCTCTTTGGTCAAAACAGAACTGATCAGAAACTGACTCCATCATTCCCTAGGAGGAAGAAAAAGATTGTTGGACTTCAAGGAGAAATTGGGTAAAGAGGAATTAAGAAGAAGACGACGAAGAGGAGGAGTTTGGATTTATACCCTGCCCTTCACTACCCGAAGGAGTTTCAGAGCGGCTCACAAACTCCTTTCCCTTCCCCTCCCCACAACAGACACCCTGTGAGGCAGGCGGGGCTGAGAGAGCTCTTCTAAGGACTGCTCTTGAGAGAACAGCTCTGAGAGAACTTGTGACGGACCCAGGGTCACCCAGATTAGAGTCCACGCACTTAACCACTAAACCAAACCAACATTTCACTTCACTTTACTTAACAACTCTATGAACAGACAGGAAGTGGGGGATACCAATTAGGTGGGGGAACCCCATTCCCCATTCCTAACATCTGAAGTACCCTGTTAACGGGAAAACATGGGAAAGTGTGTCCTGCCTCTTAGCATCTACACAGCTAAATTCTGCAGAACTTCCCTTCCTGCCCCTCCTCTATTCGAATTTCTCTTTGGTCAAAACAGAACTGATCAGAAACTGACTCCATCATTCCCTAGGAGGAAGAAAAAGATTGTTGGACTTCAAGGAGAAATTGGGTAAAGAGGAATTAAGAAGAAGACGACGAAGAGGAGGAGTTTGGATTTATACCCTGCCCTTCACTACCCGAAGGAGTTTCAGAGCGGCTCACAAACTCCTTTCCCTTCCCCTCCCCACAACAGACACCCTGTGAGGCAGGCGGGGCTGAGAGAGCTCTTCTAAGGACTGCTCTTGAGAGAACAGCTCTGAGCGAACTTGTGACGGACGCAGGGTCACCCAGATGAGAGTCCACGCACTTAACCACTAAACCAAACCAACATTTCACTTCACTTTACTTAACAACTCTATGAACAGACAGGAAGTGGGGGATACCAATTAGGTGGGGGAACCCCATTCCCCATTCCTAACATCTGAAGTACCAATGCATATTTTGGGGGGGGG